TGTTTGCTTGTTTGTTTGGCACAGGGTCTTGCTATGCAGTTTGGACTTGTGGTGATCTTCCTGTCTCAGCACTCTGGTGCTGAGATTACAGTATGCACCCCCACGCCCAGGGATCCAGGGCCACATGGCATGTGGTACCTCGCACTGACCGCAGGACCTTGCACTTGCCACACAGGTGCTTATACTGCTGAGCTAGCTCCCCGGCTGTGCTTTGTAAAACTGAGTATCTCAATACATATGTAATGTAACCTTTGTAAATATAAAAAGGCAGATTTAAATAACCCTACAGCCTACCACCCAAAGTCTGCGATTCTTAAGCTCTGGAATCTATTTTCTTCCACATATTTTCTACACATAGGTTGTACTGGAAAGTTGTGAATTTTTAATCACATCACACATACAATTGTGTATCTTGATTTTCTTCCACTTAACAAACATAAACGTTTTAATATATTTTCTCCATAAACCTTTTCAGAGACAATGTTACTTAATGGATGTATCATAACTATTCTGTGATTAAACACAATAATTCTAAAATATACAACTTGTTCATCAGGCTTTTTTTCCTATACTCAAAAGTGCGCCATTAATGAGTCCTATGAGGTTGCTATGTCAGGAGATAAGAATATATTTTAGGATCTCAATATACAAGACAATAGAACATAGAAGAGTGCCATTTTTGCTGTATCTTAAAAGGATATACTTAGATCTAAAGATCAAAAATTTTTTACTCTAAATTTAAATCTGTATTAAGTTAGTAGAAAACTATAACCTCTTCATAACAAAAGTGCTCATAATAAAAATTACTGAAACAATGCAAATGTGTATGACATAGAAATCCCATCTTCCTTTGCTTTCTTTCCCCTTTTAGGGCTAATTACCGGCAACTGTTTTCATACAATCTTCTAGTCTTTTTCTGCTTTCACTGAAATGTACACATGTGACTCTTTCCTTTTGTTCCTTATCAAAAAAGGGGGCAGGGATCAAATTTGCTGTTTTGGTTCAATAGAAGTATCACAGACACCAATACACTAAAGTCTGACTCTCTTCTTAAAAACTACATCATACGCCACAGCACCAAAACTACTATGGCTATCTTTAGTTTTTCCTCATTATAAAAGACACTGCAATAAACAGACATTGATATTAACCATTCTTCTGTAAGATACTGCAGTGTCATTCAAATGCATACTCATTTATTTAACTTGTCATTTAAAGAAGGGATTTTATTGTTCATACAGTTTTGGTACATTTATGATTTGTTCTCCAATGTTTCTGAGTTTTGCTGCTATTAGAATAGAATCTTCTTCATCTATAAGAGTAACTATTGGGCCTGCCAAATACTCAGTGGATTAAAGCGCCTGCTTAGGCAGAACAGGGACCGGTGTTTGAGGCCCCAGTGTGCCTTGCCAGCCCCAGCCCTGGGGTGCGCTGTGACAGCGACTGAGCGTGGTGGTGCCTATAACCCCAGTGGCTGGGAGGCTGAAAACAGGAGGATCACAAGTCCAATCTGTGTAGTGAGGCCTTGTACTAAATACATTTTTTTAAAAAAGAGTAACTATTAATCACTGATTATTAGTCAGATGTCACATAAGCTGTTTACATATTATAGATATTAACTTGCTAATCATTTGTCACAAGCATTTTCTGGCTTTTAACTGCAAGATATTTTTGCCCTTTTCCTCTTTTAACTAAGTTTTAAACTTTTATATAGAGTAATATACTGATATTCTATATATTATTTGCTTCTTTGTCCTTAAGAGTAGCAAGAGTAACAGAGTTGAGTGTTCTGCAGGTGCCAGGGCCTTTATCCCGCATTATAAAAACTCCCACAAGGCAGGATTCTTTTCCTTACAAGATTCCAGTTAGGCACAACTAGCTGCAAAGCCTGTTCTAAGCATGCAGAGCTCTTCTTCACAGATGTTTGTGCTCCTGATTTCCATATTCTTTAGAGCTGGAGGCGTTCATGCTGAGTTACCCTGTATTACCTTCCTGCACCATACAGTTTACTTCTGGGATACAGAAAAAGGCTCCAGTGACCTGTTGAACAGATGCCCTGAAGCCACTAGGACCATTTCAGCGAACATGGCCCTAAAATCTATTTGACTGTATTTATCTCACCATACTACAGCTTGTAAGATTACACTCAAAGTTGTGATTCATTTCTGATCCTCCTCCCCCACAGAAACTCGTAATTACTGTCAAGTTCACTGTGAAAACAACAGCTCTGTAACAACAGCTGTATCACATCCAGAAACAAGTCTTCTCTCTGCAATGAAGGTATTCTTTCAGACCACTTGGAACATTTTATGATCGCCTCCATGTACATCATGCTTGTCTCAACAAGGCTATACCTACAGGTTTTATGTTTTCTTTTGTAATGTGGTCAAAGCCAGTTTTCTATCTTGTTTCTTCCATTTTATTTTCTGCTACATTATATTTGACATTCAGAAAACTATGAATTTTGAACATGCATCAATTCATCAGATCCTCTGTCATTTCAATCTTTTTTGTCTAATCATTTTTGTTATCCTCTTCGTAGTCAATGTTATTGCTGGGTCAAAACTTATCCAAAAAAAAAATCTATTATATAATGTTCCAATTTTTAACTTCATCCTGCGTAATGTGGAAAATTAGTTTAACATCTATGCTTTTTCATTGGAAAATGCTCTGTTTTTTCCTACTTTTATTCAGGTCTACCTTTATCAAACATTTGAGCCAGGCATAGTGACACTCGCCTGTCATCTCAGCATTCAGGAGGCTGAGGCAGGAAGATCACATCAAGTTTAAGCCTCGCCTGAACTACATAATGAGATCCTGTCTCAAACATAAATGTTTTGACTTTATAGCTGGATGTGTAAATGCACTACGAACCCCAAAGCACAGCCCGACATGGCCTGCCAGTTCTCCACTCTCCACCCACCTCTACCATTCTGCCCTTGGCAACTTGAGTAGTTTAAAAATGCAAATCTGACTAGGTCATTCCCTTGCTTAAAACCCAATCTTTACAATGGCTTCCCATTTCCCCTAAGACAAAACTCAACATCCCTAACCACCCCTACAAGCCCCTACAGGATCTGGCCCCCAGCCTAGCCACACTTCCCCCTATTCACATCATCTTGCCAGTGGGCAAAACTTTCCCCTTTCTGGGCCTTCCCACATGCTGTTCCTTGCCTGGAAAATTATTCCCTACTTCATTGGACACCCACACCTACAATCTTCAAATCTCAGCTTAAATCCTACTTTTGCCCAAAAAAGTCTCTTTGAGCAACCTCTCCCTAACCATTCTCTAGTGTGGTCCCTGATTTCATCCACTCTGGTAGCAAGTGCTCCCTAACTTTCCCAGTAGATACTACAGTCTGTGATTGGACCAGAAGCCTTCCCCCCCACCCCACTACAAAGATTCCAGCAGGAAAAGGTTGATTTTATTTGCCACGCTAGAAAATATATATAATAGGTACATTATATAT